TGATGAAGAATACTGTTTGTCACTCATCAAGTCCATGCCTCAGAGACTGCAGCTGTTAGAAAAGACAAAGGTGGTTCAACTAAATACTAGTGATGTGTTGGAGTCTTCTTTTGTTTCTTTGTTTTCCACAATTCCATCATTTTTGCCAGGGGTTGTATTTATTTATTTGTTTATTTATTATTATTATTGTTATTATTTTATCTGTCCCTGCTGAAGAAAAGCCGCCCTGCCGCCACCATGCTGTGTTCAGGGTGCTGTGTTCCTGCATGTCTTGTAGGATGTTGTGTTTGGAGAAAATCCTTCTGAAGCTGAACTATTTTCCAACATGTCCACATGTGGACAGCAAAGACAGAAGGTCTGAGAGGAGAGCTGAGGGAAGACATCCATGTCAGATCAGAGAAATACCTTTAAACTGWGGAGGAGGTGTCAGATTGTTGTTTTTAAAAACCATGAACATTAACATCACAATGATGGCGTCAAACTGTAGCAGATAAAAGAACAGAGCAGGAAATCAYTGTGGACCTGATTTCACTGACCTCGTTGGTGTTCAGGTGCGATCTCTGCAAAGCTTCGACAGTCGAAACCTGCAGGGGGAAAATAAAATCACAATTTAATTTTCAAGAATGAAAACCACGTTTACTGAGAGTTTTGGCAGCTTGGTCTTCAATTTACAAACTTCTGCCATCACCACATTTAATGGGATTTAAAAGTTATACTTTTTGAAATTGTCAAACGTCAGATAAAACTATTTAATTTTAGTCAAAAGTTCCAATTTGTCAGTAAAATTTCTTGTCAGGGGATTACATGTTCGAAAAAACAAAACCAGAAACAGAGAAAAATCAACAAAATTGAATAATTTCCTGTAAAATATTTTTAAAATGATTGTTTTATTGAAGAGATTAAAGTGAAGTTAGGATTAGGTGACTTTTTGTTTCTACCTGGAGCACTGATCTCATGTTTTATATTGTTTTGTTTTTATTTTTTATTTTTGGCCTGTATTTGGTTTTTGCTCTTTTGTAAAATGATTTATTTCCTCCTTCATAAACTTAATAATAAATCTAAATCGTGTTTCACACTGCAAAAACTGTCCACCTAACCAAGTTTTAAAATCTTATATCAGCCAAAAAGTCTTTTGATCTTGTTTTCAGACTGATTTACTAAACAAGAACTGATTGTGTAAGAATAATCATCTTGTTTTCAGAATGTGTAAGATTCTTGAAATAAGAAAAAAATGAGTCAAATCAAGTATTTCAAGAATCTTACCAAGTAAAATGTTTTTACTCCGCTGGCAGAAATGTTTGACTTAATTAGAGTCAAATTTTCAGACTAACAAGACAAATAATCTTAGACATTCTGAAAACAAGATGATTATTCTTACACAATCAGTTCTTGTTTAGTAAATCAGTCTGAAAACAAGATCAAAAAGACTTTTTGGCTGATATAAGGTTTTAAAACTTGGTTAGATGGACAGGTTTTACAGTGCAGTAAATGTCTGAATGTGTGGAACTTAACAGGCCTTAAATTTATCAGGTAAAATGATTTGATCTGAAACTAAATTCTGATGAAATCATCAGTTTYGGCTTCCCGACCCTGCAGATCAAGCTGCAGTGAGTTCATAACCTGATGTAAAACCAGGAAATGGGTGCTGCTGCTGCTCCTGCCACCTCCTGACCTCACCGTTCATGTCGACGGCCTGCTCGCAGGAGAAGAAGATCCCGGTGTGGAACCTCCTCATGATGAACTTCTCCTCTCCCGTCTCGAAGATGTACTGCACCTGTCGGCTGTCGTTCAGGTTGGAGCTGTTGAAGCGGATGCAGTACAGCTGCTTCTCCTGCACGGGCGGTCCCGTGCAGAAGGGCTTGGCCACCTTCCTGGTGCCCTCACACCAGTAGCTGGTGGTCACCGCCGACACGGCGAAGGCTAGAGCCACGAAGTTGAGGGTGAGAGCCAGGGACGCCCGCCGCCGGTGCTCCAGCCCCATGGTCCGGGCCGGGGCCAGAGGACTCGAAGGGGAAAGGCGGCTAATCCTGGCTTTCAGTTTGCAGCCGCGGGGTTTTTCCTCCCAGCAGATCTGTCAAATCTTCATAATCTTGTTGCGTTTGGGACTCCTTTTGGGTGAGAAACGGCAGCATCCCTCCTCCAGCTCGGCTCTTCTCTGAACCTCCACAGAAATCCATTTCTGCCTCCGTCTCTTCGGAGCTGCTGCCCTCCTGACTWCATCCCATCCGTGCCACAGATCTGTTCAGGCCGGATCACTCATTGCAAACCATAAATGATGCTGCAGGTTTGTTTTGAGCCTTTCTGAGCTGAGATTTAATCCAAACAAAGCTGACGGACAGCCAGCGCTCCCAAACCCACTGCAGCCGCAGGCAGAAGATCAAGTGCCTGTTTTACTTTGAGCAATGACATAATGTGCGCAGTCTCATCTGAAAATCCATCAATAATATCTCTCTCTCTCTSTGTGTGTGTGTGTGTGTGTTTGTCTACTTGTTTCTACTACAGAGTGAGGACCATTTGCACCATAGTTACTCTCAAAGTGACCTCTTCAGTGTCCTCACTTTGTTTGCAGCTCTGCTGTGCTTTTCTAGTTAGGTTTACAGGTATGGTGTGAGTTAAGTTCTGGTTCAGGTAAGAATTAACTGTGGACCAGTAATGGTTAATTTTAAGGAAAATGTCTGGGTCAGGCATAAATGCAGTTACAAAAATGACTAAAAGTCAATACAAAGTCCTCAGTTTGATGCAAAAACAAGGATGTGTGTGTGTGTGCCCATGTTTTTGCTACTTGGTGGGGATGATTTCTGCAGCCTTATGGGTACAAATGCTCCTTGTAGGGACCAAAGCCCATTCCCCATGTCTTCGGAGGCTGATTTTGGGAGGGGGTTAGGTTTAGCATCAAGGTGTGAATTGAGTTTAGGTTAATTTTAGGGTAAATGGTCAGGGTTAGAATATAAAATTTCAAAAAAATGAATGGAAATCAATGGAAAGTCGCACAAGGATAGAGAAACATAGTAGTGGTGTGTGTGTGTGTGTGTGTGTGTGTGTGTGTGTGTGTGTGTGT